GTTAGACCATTCAATTGAATTTTGATTGAACTTCCTATTAGTTTTTGGCTGATTCCATCAACTTCCTGAATGAAACGCTCACTACAGCATACAACATGTACATAAACATTTCCACCTCTCCCCTCACCCCGACAGGATTTGGTAGGATTTTCCGTTCAGTAGTAATAAAAATTATGTATGACTTTTCCAAAAACTAATTTCAAAAAATAGTGTACATTGCACATGTGAGAAACGGTGAATGTTAAACTCATGTGTTAATATTTTTAGGGACAGCCATAGGACAAGCGCGATAGATTCCTTGACTTGTGTCATCTCGTCTATCGCTCGGCTGCGCGTATCCTACGGCTATCCCCGAAAACATTACCCCACTCTTATTAACCTTCTGACTCGCAATCTTATCTCCACTACCTGTGGGGGCCAGACGTTCGATGTAGAAGGGGATCAGTAGCGAGCGCACGACAGTTCCGCAGCACTGAGCGCACGCTTGAATCCATGAGTCCCAAATATAAAAATTGTTAAAAGGAATTTATTGGTAGATAAGATGAAACGAATTAAAGGAGGAAAAGAAGCAATTTAAAATAACACATCTCATTGCTGTCAATCTAGAAATCATGAACAGGACCTCAATTTTCAACAAATGGTTGCACTAGATAATTCTCAATATTTGAAGACCATTTTCGTTCTCGTTATTCATCAATTTTTTTCTTGCTCTTTGCTGAAAAATGATCTGGATTCATTACACAATTTGAAGGTATCCTTCTTTATTTCACGTATTTACCAGGACTTCCACGTACACTTTTCAATATACTTTCATTTTTTTTCTTTTTTTAGTCATTGACTCTTTATTACTGACATTTTTTATTTTTTTTATCTCTCACTATTTGTTGTCTATCTATCAAAAATTTTATTACGTGTTACGTGAGAATATGCAGGGGGCCCCAATAGCTTTGCAATACTTGAAAGGTACGCGACAGGACGCGACTGACGCGACAGGAGTGAGGGAATAGTCACGTGACCATTTCTCAGTAACACATCGCGCGGCACGTTGCGATTGGGGGCCATCACACCGATACGGTTTCGAACGGTTTGCGAATCAGTGGGTTAACATTCCCCCTTTCCACACTTGTAACGTAATATACTATTGTCTCAGTATAACGTATTGCTTTTGAAAATTTTCAAGCCATGAGCTTTTTGATAAAAGTAAAGACATATTGCTTCTGTAATTGAAAACTCACATATATTTTCTGAGACCGACATTGGAAAATCATGTCAATGAATAGAGCTTATTAAAGTCTATATTCATGAATAAAAATCGTAAAATTCAATTGATCCCTTCTAAGAAAATTTCGAGACAAAAAATTGAGAAAAATGACAACCTGCATCCACACATACATACATACATCCATACATATAGACATCATAAAAAAATCGCATATGCGGACTTTTTAGAGTATATTTAGTTACCCTAACACAGAAAATTGGGAACTGAAATCTGAGCGATTACAAACTTTCCATGTAGAAGCAAAATACCAGCCTGGGCCACTATGCGGTCAAACTTTACAAATTATGACCGCATAATCGCCCAGAAAGGTGTTTTTATACCATACGTGCGTGAAATCCTGCCGGTTTCAGTTGAGTGTCGACGCACAGAAAGTGTCGGGTTTCACACTGTAGTGTGGAACCCTACACATCTGTGTATAATCCCATGCGTAACCCATGGGCATGCGCAAATGCACGGGTCGATGCGCAGATCCATGCGCAAATGGTCGTTGCAATATCATCGTTGGATTCCACACATCCATTGCGCATCGACTTGCGCATCGACTCATAACATCGCCCACTGCCTCACTTGTTGGCATCCACATAACCCTCTCAATATTCTGTCGTTAAATTTATTCATTTATTCAATATAAAAGCAGTAAAATTAAATGGACAACCACATCATACCCGACAGTGACGAGGAGATTGATCTCTCGGGAGATTTATTTGATGGAGATTCGACATTCATCACTGAAGAAACCGTCGGTTCTCCGCCAAATAAAAAGCTGCGTCTGGATGATGAAAATGATGAAAATAACAACTGGAATGATGAAAATCTTCCACCAGAAATTTCGAAATCAGGAGAAGAAGTGAGGAATAATTTGATCCCCGAAAAATCGGTTGATAAATACAAGACTGTCTATGAAATTTCACCCAATTAAATTGAGAAATTTGATTTTAAACAATTTCCAAGAACTTTTTTTTTATTTTTGATCTTGATTTAGATTTTTTTTGTTTTTCAGTGGGGGGGGGCTTCACCCCCCCCCCCAACCCCCGCCCCCAGCAGGGGCTCCGCCCCTGCGCCCCGCGGGGGCTTCGCCCTTCGACCCCACCAGGGACTTCGTCCCTGGACCATACTGGGGGGCTTCGCCCCCCTGGACCCTCTTCTGCCCCCCCCCGACCCCTTTTCGCCGCGCACGCACTTATGGTATAAAATAGTATACGCAACTCGTGCGGGTGGCTACGCCGCCCTCGTGCATAACCGCTTGCTTCCCGCACTTATTGCCTAATATACTATTATTAAGAACCATTTAAGCTGTAACATTGAAATTAAATCACAAATTAAATTGCAATATTTCTATTATATTCGGGCGTCCATAACTGATTATTTCTTAATTTAATTTTTCTTCTTGAATATCCGGTTAATTTTTATTCATAATACTGTGAATCTTGGGCGCCATGTGATTTCATCTCACGTTAGCGAATTTAAAAATATTCTAAATAATTCACCTTGGATGTGTCCGTAGTAATTAATCTCAATAATATTTTTACTGAATTTGTTCTGTTCAGGCCTTCAATAATTTACCAAATTATTAAATTGTATTGAATGCTGTTTTCAAATCAGAACTGAATTAAAAATACAGGATTCAATACAAATAATATACGGATAATAATAATTTTAATGATTTGTGTTAAATGAATTTCGGGTAAAATTTAATTAAAATAATTGTTGTTATTCTAAATCATAATTATCGAATTTAGTCGTGTAAATATTCTCTCTCCCAAATTATTTACAACATCCATCACTGCAAACCGCATCGAAAATCGCATAGTTTTCAACGCAATGTTTTCGGATGGATTTAATATATATTTTTTTATTTAGAGCATTCAAACCATTTGGTTTATTCTGCTAAAAAAATGCAGAAAAAAAAATTTACCAAAATACATATAATATATACATTTAATTTTTACAGAGTCCTATTTTCCCCAGTTCTTAATTATAAAGATTTACATAGAGCACTCAAATATTTAATCCAGAGGAGGACAAAAAGGAATCAATGTGTAACAGCCTTTACTATTATATTGAGCCTTTCTGTTTAAATTTTTTAGGAAGACACTTATTTCATATGGAGGGGAGAACTTAGAATTAGAATTTAGAGTAATGCGACCGGTCAATTTCTTGCCCAAAGTCACCTAAATCATACGGTTTTTTGTAACTTCCGCTTTATGCTGGTCAGTACACCAGCCCCAGCCCTGTGTTTTTCACTAGGCTAATGAGGCTGGTCACCGCCACCTTCATTTAGGTCAGCTGGTGCCATGAAAGCCTGGCCCCAGCTCCTATATCTGCGTATAGCCAGTAGGGGGCATTCGCACAGAATATGTGCGGCGTCCTCTCTACCGTCCCCGCATAGCCTACAGCAAAGAGGATTGACTAAAGTAGATGCTCAGATCTCGGGGTTAGACTGACCCCAAGCCAAAAGTAGTTCGACCCCAACGGAGGGATGCCGCCACGGTCAAATCTGACGGCTGGGCGAACGGCCTGTGCGGGTAACTCGGCAGTATAGTTCTCGCCAGGAAAGAAGGAACATCGGGTTTTTGCCGAAGACTCCCCACCACTGTCCACGACGGCATGTCATGTATCCCTCCGCGCGCGCCAAATTTGAGCGCAATCTTTAAATTTATTCCAGTTGTCACTGAAGTCTGATGGATGGCTCTCATCATTACTAAAAATCAACCCTATATAATTTATAGTTTATTTAATTTTATTAAAGTTAATAATGTTTTCAACAAATTGTGGCTGATTTTCGACTTAGTTGAATTTTTCCGCAATAATGGAAAACCGACAACCTTTCGAATGCTAACCGAATAATTTCCGAAGATCTGGTATACACCAAATAAAAGAATGACGGTATCTATATCAATTTAAAAATCGAAAAAATAAAAATAAATAATTTGTATTTATATCTAATTGAACGAATTTGCAATATCACATTTGCAGAAACCATTAGATAGCTCACTTTCAGGAAAATTCATGAAATATTAGAAATTTTCAAAAATCATCATAAAAATTAAATTAACGGAGATAGCTATCGTAACTATCTTTCAACTTCGATTTCGTGCCATTGAAACAAACGTTTTTACCTATGATTGAATTAATTTAAAGAATATTATCCAAATATGTCTGCAGAAATCATATATTCAAAAAATATAAAATTTTCGCAAATTTTCATGATAAATCAAAATAGCGATTATTGCTTTATCTTCGAATTCGGTGAAAAGAACATCGGAAAAAATTTGTTAAGCCATTATTCAATGGATTCAGAATTTTTTTTCAAGGTGGGAACCGATTTAAGAATATCGAAAAGTAAAAAATTTATCAATGAATCAATTTTTAATTAATGGCGATGGATAGAGCTGAATAATACCTACATTTGAGAGAAATGATTCAATTCCATCGATTCATTAGCGAACAATTGCAGAAAAACTTTGTCACACACATACATGCATACATATGTACGAAGACGGTTTAGAAATTGCATTTTCGAACTTTTTGGATCCTAATAGGTCGATATAACACAAAAAATGCAAAACTTAAAGTTGAACGATTACCATGCTTCCATTAGAATGGAAGAATTCGCTTTTCTATGATCTAATTGAGCTAATTGAAAAAATATTTTTTAAAAAATCTTTAAAAAATGAAAATGGAGGAGAAAATGATAGGTAATAATAATAGATACAAATAACAATAATATAGATATATTTCCTTGGATACAATATTTGTAGAGCTTATCCGGTTTTCTACTGTCATTTTTATGCGTTACCATGGGCCGTCTTCCTCCAATCACGTCGCATTTGCCCCAGGAGCTGTACTTCATTTGCAGACACTCCTGGTGACCGAGGGAAACCATGGAAAACCCCGGTCGACATGGGCGACTCCGTAAAACGACCTTTATCGCCGAAAGAACATGGAGCTGTAAAAGAAGTTCATTTTAACAACAGATCGATCTTTTATCAATTGCCGCAGACATTAAGCTCGCGGGAGGGTAAAAGAACGTTGGAATGTTCACAAATTTTCGTAAAAAGAATTCATCTCCGTCCTCGCAGGTAAAGGAATTATTACGTAAGAATATTTCTGTTCTATAATGCGAAGACGGAGTTAAATTCATCGAGCACAAATTTTCTCCCGTTTTTCTCAATTCTTCTGCTCTCTTAACTCTTTTTTTTAGAATGGTCAGAATCTTTCACGGTTAATGAAAGAGTACGAGTTATTATATCGGTTGAATTATGAATACTAAATTTAATTATATACTTACAACACTAAATCACCAAACAAATCGGCATGTGAGAAAGGCGGGCTGATGACTGTGAAACTGCAATGATTACTCCTGTCGATCGTCCAGAATCCTGACTTTTCGCTATAGACAAAGTGAACAGGTTGTAAATTAATGAAAATGTTTTACCAACATTCAACTATCAATTGAAATAATTCAAAATAATTATCTTGACTTAGCTGTGAGTGAATGTGGGAGTGAATGTGGCACTGTGAGAATCCAGAGGCTACAATAGTTTCAGTTTGACTGAAAACGAATAAGGACAGATATGAATGGGTTGATTACATTGATTAGACTCATGGGGCTCAAATATCGTGTGAGATGAGTGCTATAAAATAGAAAAATATGTCAACTTAGCTGTTAAAGAAGAATCTGGGGGGTATGCAGCAGCTCGGCGAGGACTTCCATAATCGCCAGATCTTTCTAAATGCAAATCGACAATTGGAAGCAATTATGGAATGAAATTAGTTATTAAGCTTAGACAATTCATATCACCAATCAGCTCCATGAAGTCTTACCTCAGGTCTGATTCATCAATAGTTTGCTTGTTTTGGTACATTCAGCTTCTCCGACCGTCCTACGTAATACCACCGCCTGGGGATTCTGTGAACTATTACAGAAAAACATTGCATTATCATGAGATGATTATTATATTTTGATTTTTATATTTTTAAAAAAGAAAAGAATTTTGGTGGTATAACATCAAGTAGATAGAAAAAATTTGGCATACCTGAGCACAGACATCCACGCCCCGCGATTTCCATGACCATCGATTAGAAGTAAGTGAGCAAGTGCTTTCACTGAGAGACAGCGGAAAACACGAGCTGCACCTCTGTTCAAATTCTTGTGTGGATAGCAATTATTGCTACCGAAATATATTTCGGTGCTATCCACCGAATGCGAGTTGAACATGAAGAAGTTCCTATCGTTTCCAATGCGTCGCGAAATGAACGCAACTGTTTTTGCACCAGCAACATATAAGAATCCCGTAGCATCAAGGCGTGATTCATATCTCTCCATCAGTGAGCTTATGCCATCTCTCAGTTCCGTCAATACGTTTCCTGACGAAAAGAACCCGTCCCATCCGGGATGAAAACTGACCGTAACCGAGTGACCACAAGCCGTGAACGATGGTAATAGTTCCTCTGGGCAGAGATGGGATTCCTTTACATTATTACGTAATTTGCATTGAACGTAATACTGATCACCCCCAATGAGAATCGAGTCCAGGAGATCTCTGGTGATATTTCCAGCAGAAAAGGACAAAGCTACAATGCTGAACATGGCAATGGCTGTACATTGAGTATTTGCCCTTTCTTCTGGGAAGTATTTGAGGTCACCTTGGTGAAATCTGGCTGACTGATGAAGGAAAACATCTCGAATCTTCTGTGTTCGAACTTCGACGAGTTTGTTTTTCCCTGTCGGAAGTTGCCAAACATCTTTAGCCTTGAAAGAATAATAGTTCAGTTAGGAGACTATTATCCTCCGACAATGTCAAGCGCAAAAGCTTGAAGTTATAATGCTAAAACGAGTGTTGCTCACCAGAGTGCTTTCAAGTTTTGGACCACGTTCTGCATTACTTTCGGATACTACAGGGAATGAAGTGGGTAACGAGAATTGCAATTGAGATGAAACAATCTCCTCCATCATTCTTCTCCTTATACCTGGCATATTGGCTCCAGAGAATGTGAAGGGTGCATGTCTTGTCAAATGTTCTGCGTATGCACAGGTGAATACACCACAGTCGAAACCATTAGTTTGCTGAGGAATATTCTGTGAATTGAAATGGGAATTAGACAAAAATGAATTGATCCAAACCAACGAATATGCTATTCATGATTAAATGATTAAATCTATACCTTCACTTGTATCGTTGTCCAATCAGTAGGTACTAGCGCCTGATGCTTCTTCTCTGCATGTTCTCTCATCAGATAACTAAGAATTGACTATGAAATTGAGGAACGATATAATAATGACATTCAGAGTTGCTTAGGGTAATCTGGATTTACGAACTGTATATATCGCTATAACTTTTGACATACTTACATCCATGCATAGTTGATTTTCGTTACCCATGCTATCATAGCATTGGATGCATTTTTCTTGCACACGGACTACACACAAACACCAATGAGAAGGTAAGTGAATAGGTATCAATACCAATTCTTTACTGAAAAGGTCAACCTGCAAACGAAAACGTATGGAATTAGTCTCACAAGATCAAAGTTGAAGTAGCGGTTGTACATTCTCAAAGTTATCTACATTTTTCGTCCATCGTTTCACTTTGTCATACGAGATGACTGCGTTTACGTAGAAATTTGTGGAAAATGCGTAAACACCGTTTCCACTTCTCTTCGCAACCAGGCTCAAATAGTTATTAATTATCTAAAACAATGCAGATTATTTTCATTGAACGAGTTATAACAGCATGGTCTCTCCTCTTTATACTCACATTATCATTGAGCCATCTCGTCCCAATCAATGTTTTCAAATCAAAAACACGCAGTGGATCTCCATCGGTAGGAATGGAGGCACTGTCGTCTCGTTTCAACCAATCCTATAAGTCAAGAGAATAATAATGAGACTCCAAAAATTCAATTAGTGCAACACAGTTTGGAAATTTCTTGGATAGATGAGGAAATATAGGAGGGGAACGGTAATAAATACTAGCCCTTACAGATCAAAATAACAAGCCTATAACTGATAATAATTATCATAATCACTATCATTTGTAATGAAATTATACCTGAACAGAAAATGGACGCAAAGTCGTTGAGAATGAGTTGGTTAACAATTCAGAGTTGATGTCTGGCGAGTCATCTGGCAGAACGACGGGGACGTAATCGTGATCGTTATCGACACATAACTGCAAACAGAATATTATTAAATATTGTAACAAATGATGACTGTGATAAATATACATTGATGATGCTGGAAACTGCAGCTTTGGCCTCTTCAATAGAAATGGAATCTATAGATGATGGAATTGAAGCGGGAATGGCAGTGACTTCCGAAGCTTCAGCATCTTGCAAAGACATACCAAGGCCCTCGTCTTCGGAAACATCGACAATCTGTAAACGAGTGATGTAAAATTTCAAGTCGTAATGAAAGAATACTGAGAGGTATCATCGCAGTCATTCATAAATGCATTGTGCCCATATTATACCATTCCACAGACCAGGCTGTACTGTCTTCATCAAGATGGAGAGGTGATGGAATCAGCGGTGGCACTTGAGCGACCTCCGGAAAGGGAATATCTGCTGAAGATACTCCGAAGTCCTCATCGTTGGAACCATCAATACTCTGTGAACGAGTAATGAAATATTCGCATTTGCAGCAACAGAATGATAGCAAATAAGTACCAGGTAGGTTCAGTAATATACTATTCGCATATCCTACCATTGCGGTATCAAATGCATCGAACAACGATCGACGAACTGATGGTGCTGATGGCTGCGCTTCGATTATAGGTGAAGGAGAGCAGCAGTCATCATCAGAGTTAGTCTCTATTACGAACTCCATCATGTCAAAGTTGTCCGGATCGATGCTCTCGTCGTCTTCGTCACAGATTATATGAAGCTCATAACTTCGTTCTTCGTCGCCATTGACTTCTCTAGTATAATCTGCCAAGATCTGTTTGTCGGTGTGTTCGCAGCACGACCTCCAAATTTCAGGTGTTATGGAGGGAAGTGCTTCGGCCCAAATCTTGTCAGTATTCTCTAGAGAGAAGTCATTGTTGCGACCAACATGCAGATCGAAGTAGCGCTTCAATATTCCCCAGACGTACTCGATGGGATTATAAAATGAATGGTATGGAGGTAAGCGCACGATCTCATGAATCGTGTTGGTCGCCACGAAGTCATCGAGTTCAAATCGAATCGGCTTTTTGTTGGCCCTGCATGCTTCAAGCAGCATTCTGTTGGTATCGCCCAGACCGAAAGGGATATTATTTTTCGCAAGCCACGCCTGAAGCTCCAATTTCCTCCAGCTTGATGTGGGTTGCCTCTCACTCTGTGGAAATATAAATGTTGAGATCATAACTAATAATGATAAGATATGCGTGTATCTCATGATAGATACATACTCATAAGAAAAGCTGGACGCTAACAAAGCAAGGCGCACAAGGATATTGTTGCAAATAATTCGATTCCGATAAATTGATTAGATAGATAAACCGCATAGAAAGAACGGCATACAGGAAACTTCAATAAGATGATCTATCAACAGCCTTCATTAAATGATCGAAGGGGTTGAATCACTCACCTATCCATTTGTAGATCAATACAAGTTGCACAATGTTAACGCGGAAACTAGAAGAATGTTAGTATGGTTATCGTTAGTAAAGATGAACATAAATATTAGTAGGATGTGAATTTTTCGGAGATTTGTAAATAATGATCTGTATTCTAACATCATTGATATGACTGAATATTGGATTGCGACAGCCTACAAGGTACCTCAGGATACATACCTGCGTGGAATGATATGAGGCGTTGTCCATAACGATAGCGGAAGGCTCATGTACATTTGGTAGGAGCCTCTCCTTGAACCATCTCATGAACATTTCACCATTCATATCCCCATGGTAGTCCTCATAACACTTGGGCGTCGCAGCTGTTCTGAGAAAAAGGTTTGCTCCAGGGATGAATCCATTTTTGCCACCGGCATGGCAAACTAGATATCTGTCCCCTGTCGATGCTTTCTTCATTGAACAACTGCGTGGATCTTCATTCTGCCATTCTTTTGTTTTCCCCGTCCCGTGGCGGAATGTCCAAGTTTCATCTTGGTAAATAATCTGCTTTCCACTATCTAAAAGCTCTTTCATCTTCTTTAGGAACGTGACTCTCCTGGAAGTGATGTACGGCTGCTCTCGTAGATATCGAGTACCATCTCTGTGACGGAATTCGAATCCGATGTCATGCAGAATCCTGTACAAACTCCGCCTACTACCTTGGAAATTGATATCCTCGTGCGCCCTACAGAAGACATGCCCATGCATTTCGGATAACAGATGAGACATAAACTTTAGAAACAAAGAAGTCATTAGCAAGCAAGACCAAATAACCACCTGAGAGCCTCGTGCAATTCCGCCACCCGTACAGATCGACCTACAGAACGGATGATAAATGAACAATTTACCGTGATATTGATTCAAGGGATATCTGAGATTGAAGCTTACGTTTTGCCGCAAATTCGAAAATAACGAGACGGATCTTGTCTTTGATGGCATCATCAATGTCTCGAATTGGTTTTGCGTGAGGTCTTTCCTTTCCGGGAGTGGAAAATGGAGCTCCTGAATCTCCAATCTGAATTATTTCTGTCACCTTCCTCGTTGAAATTTTGAAAGCAGCAGCTGTTCTAGCTCTACAAAAGCACATGCATGTTGAAGCAGAACGAGGAGCGAGCAAAAGAAAGCAAGTATTGCATAGATATATTAATAAATGACAGTTCAGGTGAAAGTTATCATTCATTGACAATGGAGGGGATGAAGTGGCGAAGCAAACTGCTTGAGATAGATATATTAGAATCAAAGCTCGACAGAGAAGTTTCCATAAGAAGTTCTGTTTCAAATCAAGTTATTTTCTCGATACAAATGTGCGTCTGATGGTAACAGCTCTATAGATCGTAGATTCAAATATACTATCCTTGCTTATTAGTATCAGAAAGAAGTCGATGTATTTCAATCGACTGGTGCCGAACCAAATGAGTGAGGGATACGTTTAACTCATTCAGAGCAAAAAAAGATATCTTCATAAACGTTTGTGCTCCACCCAAGAGGAAAAAACAAAACCTTGAGTTAATTTGCAAATTAAGCTCTCAGAGTTTCACATCAATCCAACATGCAGCCGCCCTTATGCAGCACTTGATAAAAGTACTCCATATGAAAGAAAAAATCAAACAAATGATGAAATTATGACATGGTAAGAACCGTGCTGCACGAAAGGCATTGACCCTCACGACCCCTTTTTTTTCTCATCTGCTAGCATGTGGTCTGCCACTGATCCTCACGACTTCCCTGAGTGTATGGCACCTGATAATTCTGAAATTTCAACGATATTTTTTAATAAGTAGGTGTAATTCTTCAACCCCCATGTTTCCGCAGGAATTGGAAAAGAGCGATTTAGGCGTCGAGTCACAGAGATTCGTTATCTTCAACGTCTATGCAGGGGTGTGAAGGATCTAGTAATAATGATTACACAATTAAATATTCATAAATAAAATATTTTATATATCAAAAATCATGATGCACAGCTGTATGATATACAGCTTTACCCTGCTGGGACCGAAAACATATTGAAAAATAAACATGTATATTCGAATTTGTACCTGACTTGATCAACGGGGAGCAGAGGACCACCATTCTTTCTCTCCTCTTCAAAATAAGAGTTGACAGAATAGACAGCAGCCTGGAATTGCCCGTTGAATGAGCATCCCTTCTTACTTGGCTTATTTGCACACCAAGTCTGCTCTGCCTGAAGCCTCTTAGGCGTAACATTCCCTCTTCGATACCTCACCATTACGTTCAATTTTAAACTGGAAGAGAAGAAACTCTGTAGATAATCGAGCGGATAATCATTTCAACTTAATGGCGACAATGGAATTAGATTCGATTCATCATTATGAAGTAAGTGATTATTGTTGACTTCCGGGGCTTGCTTGCTCCGCTAGTTGCATTTTCTCTCATTTTTTCGTCCTCGACTTTGGAAATTGTCACTCAATGGACCAGCGATGGGAAAATTGAGCATAGCCTCCTGAGAGTCCTCACATGTTCCTTAAATAACCTCTGTAGGATCCCCACAAACTCTCTATACAATTCCCATCGAACCTCTGTGGACCTCCATATAGCTCGCTTCGAAAAATCTGGAAATTACCCCCTCCCCCTCTTAACCGTCGTTAACTCCCTAAAGTGAATTTCAATATCCCCGCTGTACGACCGTCAAAGCGGAATATCAGCATCCCCACTCAAGCGCCCTACTACGCTTTACTACGCTTTTCATCTTAGAGGGTTAAACCCCACAGAGAGATTATTGGTTGAACGGTCAAAAATGTTATGGAATGAGCTCATTCTCCCTATTTTATCAAATATCGAATGAACTCGATAACTACTATCTTTAGTAGGAAATGATAAGATTTATCTTTGCAGCTGCGGAAATTCTCTGCAGAAAATGTCTTTTGACATTGTCTTCTAAATTCCTCCATTACTAAAATAATCGCAACACGATCTGGATGGGAAAATTGACGTATGACATATCCCCCGTGTTCAAGTTGATAGTCTCCATAATTGTAAAAAATGTGACCTCTAAGATGTGACATGACGTAAACAAGTGGGAAATTGCTCTCGTATTATCTATAGGGGAGAGTGGGGCAAAACGAAAGAGTGGGGCAAAATGAAACAGCCTATAATCGATCATTTGACGCAATTCAAGCAAAAATAATTCTTTTTCATCAACTTTTGTTCGTTAACTTCTTTTATTATTGGGAGTATTGATGAGAATAATAATTTTCTATTTGTCTTATAATTCAATGGATTATAATGCAATTGATTACATTAGACCGACTGCACTTTTCTCTTTTCATTCGATTGACAATCAGCATCACATTTTTCTTTTTTCCCCTCTGGTTCTGCCCTGGGCCTTGCTTCGGACTTTTGATTTTGCTGTTTCTTTTTTTTTTCCAATAAATCCATTGACAAAATCTTCTCCCATCAAAAGTTCTCAATAATTTTACATTCTAGTGAATGAAAAATTATTATTCTCATCAGTAGTCCCAAGGATAAAAACTGTTGATAAGCAAAAAATTTAATAAAAACAAATGTTTTTGATAGAATTGTGTCTTTTTTTTCGACTGTTTCATTTTGCGCCACTCTCTTCTAGTATATATTTTTTTGTTATATAATTAGCAATATGCTTCAGAATGATTAATACGCAGATCATTTCCTTCTATCATGTATAATTCATTATTTTTTTTCATTTTATTAAATTGAATAAGATTTCGTTGTAACTC